AAGATAATTATCTTGGAAAACCTATAGCTCTTTTTGAAGTTTCTTAATCTTAATCCAAGTGATTTCATTAGCACCACCAAATATATTATAGTTTCCCTTTAAATTTCTTAAGATTTCTTCAACACTCCCATATTTATTATATATTTTTCCTAAAATATATACCCTTTCATATTCAACATTTCAACATAAATGGATGAAAATCATAATTCCCTATGAAAACCTATAGGTTTTTCTATCCTGTTGGCAGCACGTCTCTTCTGCTGTCCCAATGACGTCAGTGGGTCTCTGGGGCAGGTTCATCAACGGTGGCCTAATGGATTCCATAGCCATCTTGGCCATCTAGCCTGCAGTGCGACCTGCGACCTGCGACCGGCAACCTTCGTGTGGTGTTGGTGGTGCTTAGTGCCCCAAAAAGGTGAAGGGGGAGGTGGTGATAGGGTGGCAGTGTTAGGGGCACATTATGCATGCAGCTGCCGCAAGTGCCAGGGAAAGCTGTAAAAAAAAAGGGCCGAAGACGTAGCACATGCAACTTTTACTTTCATTTGCTTTGTGTTTGCTTCGTGCTTCGATTTGCCGGCGGCGAGTTCAAGGTCGCTGCTGCCAAGGGAAGGTGGTGGTCCTAGTGGGAAGGTGGTGGGTGGTAGCAGGAACCATCGCTAATTGGTGGTTATATGTGTGTTTTTGAATGATTTCATAGCATACTTTTCAGTGCGGTTACAAGAAATAATAAAGATATTAAGCCCAAAAGAGTTTTTAATCATTTTGATAATTATGGCATAATCCTTTACTCATTCTTCTCACAAAGAAAGATTTTAATTAGTAAATAAATTAAATTGCAGCCTTCAAATGGAAACCCTTTCCATGTATCTAGGTCACTTTGCCTCCCTTTAACGTTCATCGCCAAAGTTGTATTAAGTACAAAATAATTGCATACTTGAATCCCCCACTCAGGAATTATTCAGCAAAAAAAGTGGTGTCAAAGTAAAGGGCAGTCACTGGCATCAAATAATTAATAATTACCCGTCATTAGTTGAGGGCACAAGAAATCACAAATAAAAATGCAAATCACTTTGGCATTGGGCCAAAAACACATACGTATAGAAATCTAAGGCCAATTGCAATGAAATGAGGCAAATGATATTGTTTTTGGTCGCCCACGCCAAAGGATTTTACTTCAAGGCATCAGCAATAAAAAAAAGGAAGAGAATATATTGAGGGAGACTTTTGAGACGACAAAAGCTGTGTCTCTGTAATACTATAACCAAAATATAATTATAATTATATATATAAAATATAATATATAAATATAATGATAGGATATGTAGTTTAAATTAATCTGCTGGGACATTAATCACAGCTTCCTATCGAAAGCACATTTTTTTATACCCTTGCAGGGTATTATAATTTCAGTCGGAAGTATGATCAGTAATTAGCAGTGAATAATAAGTAACTATGATCAGTAGATAACTATGATCAAGAATTAACTTCGATCAGTAATTAACTATGAGCAGTAAGTATCAATGAACATTGAGTATCTACGAGCAGTAGTAACTCTGATCAGTAACTATCAACCAACATTAAGTAACTATGATCAGTAAATAAATATGATCAGTAATTAACTCTGAACACAAAGTAACTATGACCAGTAAGTAACACTAAACAGTACGTAACTCTAAACAGCAAGTATCTATGACCAGAAAGTAACTTTGTACATTAATCAACAATGACTTGCAACTTTTGTAACACAACACATTTCTGAGATGTGGCCGGCAGCAGTCACTTCGCTCTGGGATGTTAGAACAAGTTGGGAATCATAAGTACCGTTGTGCGAGATTTGTTTTGCAACAATTTTAAGCTATTTCAATAAAACTATGGAGTTATTCTTTTATGTAATTTTACTAGTATATAAGTCGGAACATGGCGAATCGGTGGACTATATATATATACATATATATAGCTGCCATAGGACTAATCGAGACATTTTTACAAAAAATATTACAACTTTTCCTGTTTTATATGTATGTTTTATGTATAAATATTTAAAAGTCTTTTGGTTACAAATATTCACAGTAAGTAGAATATTAACTTCAGCTTTCATTTATCAAATAAATATATTTGTAAGATACCCTTTCCCTTAATTTTTTGCATAGAATTTTTGGCATAACCTCTGGCGAGGGTAAAAATAGTTGCGAGCAAGTTGGCCGCTACTCCACTTTTTTTTTTTGCTTATCGCTGTGCAAAGATCGCCACAAAGGCCATGTTACGAAATTATTGGACACACTCACACACTCACGCAATAGCATGTGTATGTGTGGGTGTAGTGTGCAGTGTGCGAGTGTGTGAGTGTGTGAGTGTGTGAGTGTGTGTGGTGTGTGTGTGTGGACATGCAATGCAAATAGTCAACACGCCGCCACATGCCGTGCACACAAATCAAGGGCAACATGTCTCATTCCGGGTCCGGGTCCGGGTCCCGGGTCCGTGGCAGGGTTAAGGGTGGCAACAAATGGCGGGGGTGTTAAGGGAACAGGGGTGCAGGGGCAAGAAGGGGAGAGGAGTAGTGGTGGGGTGAGAAGGAGGGGGGCCGGGACGAGGTCGCCTTGCCGGGCAATTTAAATGGCGGCTACATGTCGCAACGCTGGCGTCGCGTGTTCTCTCTCACCCTCCCTCGCGCTCTCTCTCTCTCTCTCTCTCTCTCTCTCTTTTACTCACTCTTTTTCTCCCTTTTTTTAGCTACCAATATCTACCTCTCTCTGTCATGGCACTGAGAGAAATAAAAACCTACTTGAAAATGTTATCAATTTAAATTTAAACAAAAATGTATAATATATTCTGGGGAAACTCTTGCGAAATTATGATGCAACAGAAAGACGAAAATAGGGACCCTTAAGATATTTTTATATATACAGATTTTGAATTTAAAATGAATATATTATTTATTTAATTAAATAATTTAAATATAATCAGAAACTAGTTAAGAGATCATTTCTTAATATATTCTACACATTATTAAATATAAACAGCATTAAACACATTGTTTGATCAGATGATCACTCTCTTAAGATTGCTTCTACCTCTTTCTAAAGAGAGCGTTTTATAGTCAAGAGTGGAAGCAGAGGTTTTGAGGGAGCCTGAATGTGTTTAAAACCCATTTAATATTAATTAATTAGTGAAAAATAGGAATAATAATAATGAAAACTAGAAGGTAAGCTCACAAAGTCATTCAAAACATTCGAAGTCACTCTTGCAGTTTAATATTGAAATCGATCTTAACTAAATCAAAAAGGTCTTCATTTCCATTTTAAAAGCTTTTCTGTGAAGGATTTATTAGATAAATATTAAAATAGCATTTTAAAATTAAAAAAAAAAGAATTACAATTATATTTATATACAAATATATTTAAATTTAATGTTAAAATTTAATTTTTGAATTTTAATTATTTTTTTTTTAAAACCTTCTAAAATAGTGAAAACATGGTTAAATCTTTTAATTTCCCTAGTGCTCATGGCTAGATCGACTTGGCTGTTGATGTTAAATAAAAGATATATAATTTATAGAGTAGAAAATGTCTCCTTTACTAAGTTTTATAAACTAATATAACAATATCCTAAAAGATAACAACAAGATTTTCCTCATATATTTTTCTCTCAGTGTTTGCCTTTTTTTGTCGCCCACGTGTTGGCCCCACTCTTAGTGTGTCTGTGTGAGTGTTTGCCTGCCTGCGTGTGTGTGTGTGCCTTGCCAATTAACTGAAACTGCAGAGTAATGTTTTGGGGGCCAAGTTGGTACTCCCGATTTCCACCCATTTCCCAACCACTCCCCCGCCATTCATTATAATATTCGCTTCTGTTATTGTTTTCCCGCTGCCTTGTTGTTTGTCGCTTCTGGCATTGACATAAATTCTTTTTTAGCAGAAGAAAAAAAGCAAAGCAACAAAGGGCACAGCTCACAGCGGCGACACGCAAGCCACATTAAAGCAATTCCATACCACACCCCCCTTTGGGCAAGTCAAGGCATTACATAAAAGCTATGAATATATACACAGATATATATATTTATCTATGACAGAACCAAAAATCAAGCTAAACAGATCCTCCTCAACTTGGTGGAGAGTAAACCCTGATTTGTGCTGACCTACGGCAATTAACTGAGGAGAGACACCACGGCGTATACGCAATGCGAGACTTAGGGCGGAAGCTGACTTATGGTGGCTCCAGTTAGACGCACAGATGACTACGCATACATTTTCCATATACATCTATATATATAGCTTTCCCATACCAACTTTACACTAGTTGTTTTCTTTTTTTGGCTAGAGTTTTGCGAAGCTGGCGCCGTCTACTGTCTGTTGATTCAGATTCGGTTATAGATTCTGGATTCGTTTTACGATTTCTGTGTGTGTGTCTGCCTTTGGGGCATTGACTTGGCGGCAACTTGGCTCTTGTCTCATTCACAGTCTCCTGACCCAGAAGTTGACAGTATTTTTTTATTTCTATTATTCCCCACTGTTGCGGAAATTACGCATACGCCCAGTGGACCAAAAGAAATCTGTAAGCTAAAGCTGATTATGCCCCAGCGACATTGAGTAATTAGTCAGGAACTCAAATAACACGTAAGTAAATATATATATAAATCTCAAGATTTTAGGATCTTAATTTAAGTATTAAATAAACTTAAATATATGAATAAAACCTAACAAAAAGTATACAAAATCTTTCTCTCTCTTACATTTTGCTTTCCTTTTTGTAAAAGCTAAGAAAAGCATTGTAGGAAAAGCATTGGTAAGCATTAAGCAAAAGCTGTATTCAAAACTAATTAAAAAACTAAGTATTTGCAGGTATTTAATAATCATTTTATTCAAATTGTTACAAACTTAATGAAGCTTTTTAAAAACGAATGCCAGCGCGTAAATGAATAATTAAGCTTTAGTTTATTTGCTTATATATTTTTTGCTATAGTTTTTAATTCTCATTTTGATTGTTTTTTTGTGAGGCTTAAGTGGCTTGAGAGCTGTGGGTGCTGGATTTGGATTTGTGATGGTTGGGTACTTCTCATAGGGATTCTCGAACTGCTGCTTATCCTTTTTCTTCTGCTGGGCAGGTGTGCTCTTCCTGGGGCGGTTCATTAGGGGATCATCCATGGTGCGGGATGATTGCTGACGTGCCTGTGCCGGTGGTCCTGGTGGCTTCTTTTCTTCTTCTTTTGCATTTCCGGTTGCAATGGATTAAAGTTGCTAAATTGCAGGTGTTGCTGCTGCTGTTGGGTTGGCAGCAAATGTTGCTGCTGCTGCTGCTGTTGCAACTGCTGTTGCTGTTGCTGCTCTCTGCGCTCGAGGAATGCAGCATTTGCCGAGGCCACTGTGGCTATCCTTTGCTGTTGCTCCAGATCCTCCAACTCCTTCTCACGCTTCTTGGTCAGTTGCATTAACTGGGAACTGCGTCGTCTTAAGGCTGCCGCGTATGGAGTGGGTGTGGTTGCCACATTTGGCGACATCTCGCTTACACCAAACAATCGGCGAATGCGTCGCCGGCTATTGATGAAACCCAATCCCAGTTGAACGCCCAGACCCAGTCCCGCCGGAGCTGTCGATGTCGTCTGACTGAGGGAACTACTGTGCGTATGGGTTCCAGTACCAGTGCCCGTGCCTGTGCCTTCACTTCCACCTCCCAGCATCTGGCTAAAGTTACTGTCCAGATCACAACTGCTGGCAGAATCGGCGCCACAGGGAAACAGATATGTATTCAAGGTGCTCAAAGTGGTGGAGGTGGATGTACCCGTTCCCGTCAAGGTACCATTCATGGTTCCTGTTCCGGTCATTCGACTAATGGCACCTGTGTTGCTCAAAGCATGAGGCAGTGTCTCTAATGTTGCTCCTCCTGCTGCTGTTGCTGTTGCAGCTGCTGTTGCTGCTGCTGCTCCTGCTGCTGCTGCTGATGTTGCTGCTGCTGATGTTGCTGCTGCTGATGTTGCTGCTGTATGTTGCAGTGGCAACATAACTGCTGTGGAGCCACTGGCACTGCCGGTGGTGCTGCTATCATAGCTGTGTGGATTCACATAGATGTGATTGTTGTTGCTGCTGCTGCTGCCAGATGCAGCAGAAGTTGCAGCAGTTGCTGGAGTTGCATGAGTTGTGCCTGTGTTAACCACCAAGGTGGTGGTGGTGTTGTTGGTGTTGCCCTCATGATGATTATTGTTGCTGGCCTGTGGCAGATGCTGGTGGCCATTATTGTTGATGTTGCTTAGGTTAACCCTGTACAAGCTGGTGCTACCGCTAGTTGCATTGTTATTATTGTTATTATTGTTGTTGCAGCTGCTGCGAGCCGGTGCCGTTGCAGGTCGAGATGTTTGAGATCCGTTTCCGGTTGGAACGGTTTGCGTTTCCGTTCCGGCAGTTGTTGTTGCAGTTGCTGTTGCAGATGTAGCTGCAGCTGGAGTTGCTCTTGGCTGCTGGTCATTGCCATTATTGCTACTCATTGCTGTTGCTTTTTAGGGGGAATTTGTATTTGTTGTTTAGTTATTGTTTATGGAACATTATCTACTGTTGGTATAAGTTTTCTTTGAATTAAATATTTATTAAGGTGTTTATGAAGGCTTGAACTTTAAAACATACTATTTATTTATTATTTAAAATGTTAATAAAGGCCTTGGTGATTTTATTAAGTTGTATTTTTATTATATTCACAAAATTAATTAAGTTATTTCAATTATTTTTAATATTTTTTATTCTTTGCTTTAAGTAATTGAATTTTTTTCTGGGTTTCCTTCACTTTAACTTGGTTGTTCTCTCACAAAAATCGCACAAAATATTCTGAGCTTTGTTGTTTGGATCACATCCAACTGCGAGTTGAATGCACTGCTCTGGTTATTTGTCACTAAGGGCGGAAAATGCTAGTTAGCTAATCGCATTGTTTTCCATTGGCAGTTTTTCACGCACTTTGTAACGAGGCACTTGAAAAAAATATATATAATAAGGCAAGTCAAGTCAAAGGACTCTTTTTTTCTTAATACGTTTCACACACTGAATATTGCATACTTTGCAGGGCACTTGAACAAAAATTTGGGTTTCTGTTTATATTAATTATTTCACTGTTAGGTAACTATTAATGTTGGTTAATTTTATGTTAAATTTTGGTTAATTTTTTGTGTTGTTATCAGTCAGAGCCACGTGCTTAACGCGCCGCGTGTCACAATTGTATGAACTTTGTGCCGCGTTGTTGACAATGCCAAAAGCCAACAGCAGCAGCAGCAGCAGAAGCAACGAAGTTGCCACACGCACACACACACACACACACACACACAGAGAGAGTCCTTCAAAAGGAGAGCGAGAGAGAGAGAGCGAGAAAGAGTCCTGGCGACAGAGACAGCTAGAGAGCTCGCTCTGTTAACTGGGCTTCCTGGCTTCCTGGCTGGCCGGGACAAACTATTCGCCAAGAGTCTCGCAGAAGCAGCACCGAAAAAAATTCACCAAAAAAAAAAAAGAAGGCTAAAACCAGAACCAAACAATCGGCCAGAAATCTAAGCCAGCAGCACCACTTGAGCCCCGTCGTATCCTCGTACATGTATATACATATATATCCTTTATAGTATATATCCCTGGCAAACGATGAGGAATCGTTGTCGTCGTTTCAATTTCGGCCAGTTTCGGTTCAGTTGGGTTCACTTCATTGCTTAACTTAACTAAATGCTGCAGATGGTGGTAACACACACATTCGAAGCACACACAGACACACACACACACATATGCTGGCCCGACTTTAACTCAACTCGCAAAAACAACAAAAGGCCAAAGCTCGCGAACTCCAACTGTGAATGTGTGGTGTACAGTCGGGGTCAAGTTATTAAATACTGATCTTTTAATGTTGTATTATATTATTATAATAATATATATTATTTTGTATATTATTATACAATATTTTATATATATATTTTTATATTATCTTTTGAATATTTATATATATTTTTTAGTATATAATCTTTTGTATATTTTATATAGTATTATTTTTGTTATTTGACTTAATGAATTCCCTAACTATTAAATTATTATATATATTATATATTGTATATTTTAATTATTCTTTTATATATTAACTTAATGAATTCCTTGACTATTTAACGATAAATATCATTAAAGTCTTATGAGATTTACCATACATATATATGCATATATTACATTTGGTCAAAATATCCTTTTAAATTAATAATTTATAATAAAAGTAATAAACTTTAAGCTATATATCTATGACAGAACCTAAATCAAAGCCTAAATAAAACCTAATTTGTGCTGACGTACGGAAATTTAATGAGAAGAGTTTTTTAAAAGGAAGGGGACACTGAGGCGTATACGCAATGTCAGCCTTAGTTTCCAAGTGGGTTATCCCCAATAAATTTAAAAAAATATATATATATTATTTCCATTTCAAATAAATTTCTTAAATGCATATATATTCTAGGGACCAAAGAAATTATTAAGGTTTTTAAAACTCTGAAGAAGGTGTTTAAAATTATGATATGCAATTTAAATTCAAAAATTCAAATGCTATCCCTGATATCTCCTCATAGAATATTATTATAATTATGAAATACTAGTATTTTGACCACCGCTGTGAGTTTAACCCAGTGTGAGTGCAACTCTGACAGCCGAGGGCAACATTTCAATTCGGCTTCGTGTCGTTGTAGTTGTAGTTGTAGTTGTAGTTGTAGTTGTAGTTGTAGTTGTAGTTGTAGTTGTAGTTGTAGTTGTAGTTGTCGTCGTCCGTCGTTGGTGCGGCAGTCGCTGTCGCGATGTTGTCGTTGTCGCGTTCGTCATTTTCGTAGTTTGTTTTGCTCGTTTGCTGCTCCCTCGGTTTCGTAACAGTTTCAGTGTATGTGCACATGTGTGTGTGTGAGTGTGTGTGTGTGTGCGTTTGCATGACGATTAATGTTAATGTGTGTGCAGCAGCAGCAGCAGTACACTCAAAGAAATTGAATGCAGTAAAGAGAAGGATTTTATGAGCAATTAAAACTTTGTAAGTAATTAATATTTAAGATGTTTAATAATAGATCTATATTTCATTATTTATAATTATTCTATTTAATTATTCAAATTAAAAGCTTTAAATATTTCTTTATACTTTAATTTTTGAATGAAAGAAAGTCGTTTCAGGATTGAAGTTCATACTGCCTGTCTTTGGCTTAGAATTCTTAATAGGTTTCTGCTGTAAAAGTATATGGCTTCATAAAAAGAAAACCTGTACTCAAATATAGTTCAAACTCTAGATAGTTTGTTTTTGATATATGAGCTAATATATATACATTTTTTAAGTAGATTATATATTACATTATTATTGTATATTTATTCTATTAATATTATATTGTATGAATTTTCTAATATGTTATATATTTATTATTATTTTGTATATTATATGTATTATTTATACATTTCCATTGCTCAGTGTAAACCCAACTGGCTGGTAAATTATATGCAACCCGGCCTCGACCAGAGGTTGAAAAGCGTTCAATTGAGAGCCTTCCTGGTTCGTGCAAGGACAATCCTCCCATACTTCTTTTTCAAAAGAAGTATTAAAAAGAGCAAATTATTGGTGAAATTTCCTCTGAGATAAGCTCTCTCTTTCCCTTTCTCTCTCTCTCTCCCTCTCTGAATCTCTGACATAACTAACAATTATCCTAATTAATAAACCCTACCATCTTTTCTTAAATCAATTTCCCTAACCAATTCCCCAATTCCAATTGCAACTCATATAACTATATCAAATCAAATTCAAAATTTTAAATTCCAATATCATTTTCCATATATGTCTGAACTGAGCCACAAGGACGAAGGACAATTGTTGCCGAGCATTTGTTGGGGTATGGGAATTGCATGTGCACTTGCAATTTGTCGATGGCAATGGGAGCAACATGAAGCATATGACGCATACGCAATGTTGGACCATGGATCATGGCCGGCACTTTTTGTGTTCTTTATTATTATCCGCTTGTGTTGTTGCCATGCAAATTGCCCCTCCTCTGTTGGCCTGCCCCAGTGTCAGTGGTTGCACGACCAAAAAAAGGGGGGCTAACAGTGGCAAAGAGGGTAAAAGCGCCGGCTCTTTGCATGCCAGGCGACCATGTGGCAAAAAAAAACTGAAGCAACACTGAGCACAAAATGAGTGAAACTTGTGCTTTAAATGAAAATCAAGCTAAAGAGATTGATTAAATTAATATTATTTAATCACTTTTGCCTGCTAATATTACTTTTAATTACTTTAAATGCAAATATATATATATATAAATATACTTTTCTGGGAACAACTTTGACTCTTCTTTACGTGTAAAACTAAAACCATGCTGAACTTAACTCAGCTGGCGCCGGCAACCTTCAGGTCTAATAAGCAGTCACGGCACGTGAGAGGAATGGCGAAAGTCAAGCGTTCTCCGAAAATATTATTGATCAAATGTTTGCCCTCTGGGCTCATGTGACGCTTGGCGATGGTGAAGCCACCAAAACAAACAAACAAATAAATAAATCTAGAAGCCACCCACAGATGCAGCAGCGGGATCATGCCCAGCTGGAAATCTCATCGAGATGGCTTTCTTTCCCCTCTAAAAGTCATCTGCCTTGAAGGCTGACAAAACGATTTGCATGCTAAAAATAACAAGAATAGCAAGAAAAAATTGATGGCATTTCCCTACCCTCGTGTATGTGCTTGGAAATCCAAGAGAAATGCAGGGAAAGTCTAAGAAATTACGGAGAAATTCTGTTGCGGCTAACTGGTCATGGCCACAATGAAGGCGACAACAAAACACAAAGGCAAATCAATTAAAAAATGCTTCGTGGAAATAAATAAATCTATATATATATATAAATAAATACCTCAAAAAGAAAGCAAAACACACAATTGGGGAAAATGACTGAAAGCAGCAAAAAATAAGGAAAACCCAAAAAGGCGAAAAGTGCTGGGCAAATATTTCCGCTTCACGTCAAGGTTGTGGCAATCAAAGGCAGCGGTTGGAGAGTTGGCCTGATGGGATTGTTTCGTGCCGTCCAACATATCCGCTTTTGCCACTTCAACTGCCAACTATGAACTCCTAGCAATTGCCCCACAACCAAAAAGAAAAACAAGAGGAAAGAACAACAAATGAATCCAGGACAAACCTGGCAATAGTTCTACCAAAAATATCCAAGGAAACAGTCTTCAATGAATTTGATTTCATGTAAGAATTAGGTCTGGAAAACCTTTAAATCTTAGCAAATTTATGGGTATTTATAAAATTCATAATTATTATTATAAAGGAATGGTTACAAAACTTTGAAAAATTATTAATATATATTGTCTAACTATATTTCTGAAATATAAAAAGGTTTTTACGCTGTTTTTTGTAATATTTGGGATATTCAAAATGGTTTAAAGCATAAAAAATGCAAGAAAATCTCTGTTTCTATTGAAATCTTTTCTAGGGCTTAACAATCATACCTTTAAAACCAACTTAAGCTG